AAATAGCAGTGAAGAGGTTTGACTGAGTGTTCTGGAAATAAACAAGCCATGTTAAGGATGACACAATCCTGGAATAGCTTATTCATGAGTTATGCACTTCTCTTTGCTTTGCTGGCCCACTCCCCTTTATATAGTTCCAAGTGTTGACAGCCAAGAGACAAGAAGAACAAGAATTTTCAAAAACATTTTGAAGGATTAAAAAAACTGTAGTCCCAATTAGTTCCTGCTAGATAAACTCTTCCAATCACTACCATAATGTGCAACTAGTCTATCTTTTTTCCTTAAGATATATATTGGGGGGGGGGAAGAAGAGTGGGGCCCATGTGGAATGAAACATCATATGAACCATGAAAATGATGTACATAAGCAATCAGATTGCATGATATTTAAAAAAAACAAACAAACTTCATCTCATCCACAAACAACCTATTTCTTGCTTAGATATTCCCCACCAAGAGACAGTGGGGATATGCAGGAACCTGAACAAAAAGACACAGCAAGTAACTTCAGAAATACCTTAATGTGCTGAGTTATTCTGAAAGTATAATCTTAAAAAATGTAGTTATATCATTGTTTACAATAGCATCTTCTAAAATATGGAAAAATGGTAAAAAATCTTTAGGTAAAGAAAGTTTCATAATGGCTGTGAAATTCTTTCTGTGAAATGTGCTTGGGACAGCTTTGTGATGTGAACATCAGCAACAGCCCCACTAAGGACAAAAAAAAAAAAAATGGCATGACCCCAAATGCATGAAATTGTCCATTAACTGGAGGAAAAATATTTTCATGAAATGCATTCTTACTACCTTTTGTTTCACTGATTTATTGGCACATTTATTTGGGAGTGCAATTCCAGTGAATGTACTTTAACCTTTAAAACAGCATCTGTTGACATCAGTGGGGGTTACTGTGTTTTAAAGCTTTCTGGAGACAGAGGAAAGATCTTACTTCCAATTATCTGCTGACTAATTGGAAATTGCTGATTGCTGAAAATTTCCCGAGAGGAAATTTTGAGAAAAAATTCCCAAGAGAAAAGGGTACTGGGGAAGAACCTTGTGGGCAGGGCAGGAAAATCCTTGGGCTAGAGGTCATTGTGATGATGAAAGTCTACTATAATTTAAAGGAAATCTTGACTGATAATGAAAATCTACTATGACTTAGAAGAAGTGTTGAGAATAGCAACAACCTCTGTCACATTTGAAAAAAATAGTTCCTTTTTTTTTTTTGGCAAGCTATGATTCTTTAAAAAATGGAGGCTGTCATTTTAATGTCACATTAAAAAATGATTCCTCTCCCCACAAAAAGTTCGTCATTGTGAAATGATGAACCGTTGTAGCCTATAAGCTGTAAGCTAGGAGGATAGCTTAAAAGATTGGGGGCAGGGGGTTGAGGAGACTAGAATAGGGAATAACTATAGTGTTAGGTATTCAGAACAAGTAGGGAGTTAAGAAACGTTAGGTGAGAAAGAGGTATAACTTCATTAGAGAAATCTGTTTTCTGAAAGGACTGAGAAATAATCATTTGTACCATGTGAATTTGTTCTTAAATAATGACTTCTCTTCATTTAACATAATTACACATATGGGTACTATTACATGAATCCTTAAAAATAATATATGATTGATTTAGCCCACAAAAGGAAACCTTCAGAGAAAATAGATGTTTTGGATGGTTCATCTACATTTTAAGACCCTGATCCCAGTTAAGGAGATCCTGGCATGTGCGTATAAAGTCATATATAAAGCTGCATTTATTACCATTTTAGGCAGCTGAAACTCAAATGTCTCCTGACTTAGTGCATAACTGTAGTAGTATGATTTCTGGGTTTGCCGTCTAGACAAAATTGGCAGTCTGTAAAATTTATAGCTGCCTGCTGTCACAAAAATGTGTCAAAATTCAAATTTGCATAAAGGTTGTGGTGCAATGGTCTGGGATCATCCCATCAGTAACTGTGTTTTGTTCAGCACTTGTTTTAAATACTTTTCAGATTGTTTGGAATCCATCATTCTTCTATCCAAACATGGCCAAGTCCGTGGGATAGCATTCCAGAGCTTCCAAAGGGACAGAAATAATATTTATGACTGTGTTTGCGTAAATTCCAAGTACAAATTACACAGTAATCTAAATAAATTAAAGAAAGAGTACCACAAAACATAAATTTGAATTAAATAAGTCAGAGCAACCTGATTTTTCCATTAGGTCCCTTGTCTTCCTGACACCCCCCACCCCACCCCGTCGTCCAGTAAAAAACAATATCCTTAATTATGACATGTATGCTTTCCATAGATTTTTAGGGTTTTCCCATGTGAACACATGGTTTTCTTTGCGTTATAATTTTAACATCAAGATTGCTATAAATCACTATTTATTATCATGAATTCTTCTATATATCATTGGTTGAGATCTGAAGATCTCTTCATACATTTAACTAGCTTAGGGTCTTCTTTTTACGTTGGACAACGCAGGACATGTATTTTCTCCTTCAGTGTGTTAATTGAAGTTTCCGTATGGGATATTGGCTCATATATTTTTATACCAGCAGTGGAGGCTACCTATTCATGCACCCGTTGAAATGAAATGAAATGATATACATGTATATGTGAGCCAGACCACTCTTTTTTTTATGTGTGGTGATGTCCATGCACTTTCAAAAAGGATGGAGCTTGCATTATGACATCACAATGCCCTGTCTGCATTGTCTTCCCAGTTTTGACAGCTCCCCCCCCCCCATCTTTTGTCTTTTATTCCAAAACCATTACATTTCTAGGACTGGATGAGAACATCTTAGGGTATTGAAGGAAGGGAGGACTCTAGAAAAGATCATAAAGATCTAGACCAGTATGTACTTTGAAACTAATTCACTAACTAGATCGTAAACATAAAATTTATTGACACACTGAATAACAAGCTAGTTAAGCCTGTTGGCATGCCACTTAAATGGATAAATGTATGCCTGAAAATGTGTTCTTTAGTCATTCCTCATCAAATTGGGGAGAGGTGTCAAGGGGAATGTCACAAGGATTTGTCCTGTTCTTCATTATTTTCATTAATGATTTGGATGAAAAAGTGGAGGGAATCTATCAGATTTGCAAATGATGTATAATTGGGTAGGACAGCTAATACTCTAGAAGTCACAAATGAGATTTGGAACAGTCCCAATAGGTTGGAGAAATGAACTGAAGTTAATAGAAAGAAATTTAACAGAGATAAAGGCAAAGTTATTTCCTTAGGAAATAAACACGAAATCCACAGTTTTAGGGTGGGTGAAGAGTACTCCTGAAAAAACAATTGGAACTGTAGTTGACTGTAGCTTGAATCTGAGGCAGCAATGTAATATGGCTACAAAAATAACAAATGTAATTTTGGGGTTCATCATTTTCCAGATTAGGAGATGTAATTGTTCCACTCTACTTTGGTGAAAGGCCCTGTGTCCTGCTGGAACAAGTTCAGAGGAGGGCAAGGAAGAAGATCAAGGGACTAGAACTAAGCCTTATGAAGATAGATTGAAGGAGATGGGTATGATTAGGCTTGGGGAAAAAGTTTGATGAAGGATATGATAGCTCTCTTCAAATAACTGAAAAGCTGTCATGTAGAAGATCAGGTCCTGTCCTTCCATGTTCCAGAGTGCAGGACATGAAATAGTGAATTTAAGTTATTGGAAAGCAGATTCTGACGAGTGGAAAGAACTCCTAACAGTAAGAGCAGTTTGGCAGTTTGAACCAATTATCCAGAGAGGTGATGGGCTCCCTTTCATTGAATGAGTTCAAGCAGAAGCTAGACTGCCATCAGCTGTGATGCTTTAAATCTGGTTTCATGCACTGAGTGAGAGTTGGACTCAGTAACCTAAAAGGCTTCTTCCAATTCTGAAATTCTTGATTCTGTAACAGGACAGGGGGAAAAAATAAAACAAAGGGATCCCTTTTCAGGCATTACTGGATAGACCAGACAGGAAATACAACCTGATGAACTAATTCTACTTTATTTTAAAGCTACATTAACAGAATCTTGCAAGTCTGAAAGTACAATTCTCCTGCCATCTCCTTTACAGCCCGAGAAACTAGGAAGGGTCCCTTCTGAGCCTCTTGCCCTGCCCATTTTGCAACTGTGGGCTATGCTGTCTCTTATCTGACTGTTCCCTAGGCAGCATCTCTTCACCCCATCTCCCAAAGACTTTCCCACATACCATTACAAGGCATTACAAAACAGATTCACTAGGCAAACTGTTCTTCCCAAAGAACAGTTAATTCTCAAGGCATTCGTACATTGCAGCAGTCATGCCTTTAGCTTTTCCTTTCAGCAGCTTCTATCCTAATCAGCAAAATATAAGACAACAACCCCTCCCCTCCAATTCAGGGTTATTTGAAAAAAGAAAATCCTCTTCCTATTGGATAAATATTTGCATACTTGTTCAAGAGTAAGTATCCCTGTTCAATGGGGCAATTCCAGGTTATTCCTCAGAGTCTAATATTCCAGAAGGAGTTACTCATGCAAAAACTTTTTAGGACTGGTTTGCATTTCAGTTAAGTGATTGTTTGACACAATTATGATGACAATGAAGAATCTTCCAGCAGAAAGTCAGTTGATTCCAACCGTAAAAACTGATTTTGAAATGTTGATGTCACCTAGAAATACTGAGATTGAACTTGACAGTAGATTTTGATCTTCCTTTTCCTAATGGGATCTACGGGTCTTCCTCTGTTGTTTATAGTTTTATTTCATCTTCATTAAACAATACTATCCCACCATCAGTTCCTTTAAGCATACTCATGTCTCATAGATGAAGTGTGAATTTTATGCTGGATTGGACTCATTGCTTCGCTGAACTACATCAATAACCTATTTCTGTCTAGACCAACAAAACAAAACAAATATCTCTTTGATCTATTTCTCTATCTATCTCTCTATCTCTCCATCCATCCATCCATCCATCCATCCATCCATCCGTCCATCCATCCATCTTCAAGTAAATCTTGAAACATGAACTTTTAATGTTACCTTACCTTCTTTTTGCGCAGGATGACTTGACAGTCTGTAGGTTGGTGTGTGACCATTTTATTCTTTAAATCAGATACTTCTTCCACCAAGGGCACATTTAGAATGCATTCATTCTGAGAATCTGTAATGTCATGTGCATCCACATTATTATCCTCTGACTGGATGTGAGAACCAGGTGATAGCACAAAAGAATTATTGGAATCTCCTGTAGTTGCATCATTACCACTATGCTGAAAAGGGGTATGTTCATCATGGAATAAAGTGCAGTCATTCTTCTCATGAAGAACATCTAATTCTTCATGCTGTTGCACAACTGTGACTCCATGTATTATCTGCTCCTCAGACATACTTTTTTCCACAAAAGGGTCACAATTTTTTTCTTTTGGGGCATCTTCACTTTCATTGGAATTGTGGTAGCCAAGTCTGAGAACTTCTTTTCTGCTATCTTCTTTCAATGATTTCTCATAATTAGATTTGTTCATTTTCTCAGTTCGTTCAGTAGTATGATTACATTCTTTCTTTGCTTCTATTCTTGGGTTGATATTCACCGAAGATTCCTCGTAACTGTTATTTTCAGCTAACAATTTATCTTCCACAGGCATAAACTGACAGTTGATTGTCTCCAATGTGAGCTCCGTGTTCTTGCTGCCACCACTGCCATCATCACTTCCAAAAGAAACATTGACTAAAGTTTCCATACTGGCTTCCAGAGAGAGAAATTCTTCTTCTTGTTGTTGATGATTTTCATTTTCATCTAATTCTTTGGAAACATTACTGAAAAGCTTCGAGGGGAGGGCTACCAGCTCTCCAACATGACAGCAATCTGGCAAGGAAGCACTTCTTTCTTTCAGGTTTTCACACCAAAGTTCATTCTTTTCCATGCCTGCTTGAAAGTTGTCAGCTACTAAGCCATGCCTGCATAATATATTAGAATCAAGAGACCCAAAATGCAAGCCCATCCATTGGGTTACATGTTCTTCCCAGCTCCTTTTTCTGATTGCTAGAGACATGTCATAGTATTTAACAACTGGTTCCAAAGTGTGATATGATATGTGCTGGAGGAAACATTATGGCTTCTATGAACTTCTCCATCCAATGAAATGGCTCTTCCTCTTGCATATCTGTTTTTTAAAAAGAGATTGAATTGTAAAGTCATTGAAAGTGTAAGAAGCAAATGCGCAGAATAAAAAACATGACAGCATTCATATATTCCTGAATTGAAGGGAAGTGTTTAGAAAGATGTTTTGTAGAATAGTTTTGATAGTTTGCAAACAAAGACAAGAGATATAATCTAACATATCCTTTTTGCTGAATCCTCCCTCAATGAAGTAAACAGAATGTTATAAACAACTCCACGAGAACACAACAGTTTCCTTAAGCCAAATTTTGACAATGACCCTTTTTTCATTGCTTCAGTCATAAGACAACTATTTCCATGTGTTTAAAAGCTATCAAGTCTTGTGAGTTCATAATACTAGTCAACATTTCAAAATAACCAAGCATAGCATTATTGTCAAGAAGCTGAATCTTAATGAATATCTCTTATATTTTAAATTCTCGTGTTTATTACATTAGTAAAGCTATACTCAAGGCTAAAAGTAAGTAGAATAAAAACTTACCCTAAACCTTTGAAGAAAGATTCAAAGATTTTTATTTTCCTTTCCCAACTTTCTTCAAATCTATTGATTAGGCTGCTAGCAATTAGAGAAATTTTACTAAGTAGATTGTTAATTAAGTTAGGTGGAAAGCTTATCTCCATCCTAAACCTGTGCATTTGATTTTTATTTCCTAATTAAAGAACTTTGCATTTGTTTCTGTACAATTTCATTCTGGTACTTTCAGCCCATTTCTCCAAACACTCAAGGTTGAATTTTTATTTTTGATAAAGAGATGTAGGTAGTCCCCAAGTTAAGAGCACCCGGTTTAAGGACAACCCATAGTTAAGAATGAAGCCTATTGTAGCAAAATTTGAATTAAATACATAATGATTTGAGTTAAATACACAATACTTCTTATACAATATTATGCAATAATACTATTCCGGCTTACATACAAATTCGACAAGGACAGACCTTGGGAATGGAACTAGTTCTTAAACTGTATTCTCTGACCATGTTTCTGTCAATCTCAGGTTTCAATCCTGCTCTTTTAAACACAGGATATTTTTTATTTGAAGAAGCCTGAACATAAATAGGGGTTGATTAACTCTGGCTTTCCTTTTCACCTGCCTCCTTGATAGAGCAATTGATTTACTGATTTTGTTTTTCTTTTATTTTTGAACAACACCAAAGAAGCCTTTGTTGTTACTCTTAGCATCATTCACTAACTTCAACTTGTTCTTTTATTTTCCTGACATCACATCTACAGTTCTGGACTACCAATCTGTATTCTTTTTTATGTGACCTGGCCTTCCCTTCTTTCCCTTTCCTATAGATGTCCTTTTGGACCCTCATAACATTCAGTTGGGAATGTGATAGTTTTAGTCCAGCACAACTGGAAGTTGCCTAGATGATGATATCTTGTAGTTATTTATACATTGTTTATTTATTAGATTTCTACTTTTCTGTTTTTTCAAGAGTCAAGGCAACCTACACCTATAAAAATAGAATAAAAACAAAAATATTAATGCAATTTAAATCTGAATTAAAATTAAACCTAAAAATCAATTAACAATTGGATGCTTAGCAGAAGAGGTGTATCTTTATTATCATCCTGAATATTGGGAGAGTGGGGGCCTGGAGACATATGCATGAGAGCCATGCAGGAGAAGACCAGTTCCTAAGTATCAGATAATTGGGCTTCTAATTAGATTGGGGATTTTCAAAAGGGCTTTTCTTGTTGATCTAAGTAAATTGGGCAGATTGGTGGCAGGAAAGGCAGTTCTGCAGATAATCAGGCCCCAAGTCGTTAATGTGCATTTACTGACCTCCTGATCCCAATCACAGTTCAGCTGCAGTAAAGTTGTACACACTCATAGACTTCCATACCATAAGGTGACATCTAAGCAATCCATTTAATCATTTGATTAATAGGTAGTAAGTAGCCATCTTTGTTCATCACATTAAAAAAAATGTATTTGTAAACAAAGATGGGCAAAGTAGGACGTAATGTTAATAATTTGGAAAAGGACAGAGCAATACTCTTATTGCAATGTAATAAAATGAAGGAAACTAGATGTAGTTATTCATAGGTGTCATTTTTAAAGCACATTGTGTTCTGATTAATGTTTCTTGCCCCTTTACATTCTTTTTATGTAGGACTCTTGGTTTGTAGAGAATATGGATTACTGCACACTGGGAGAATGTTCTCTGCAGTATAAAAGAGATGTATTAAAAAAAACCAAAAAACCATGGATTCGTAGTGGCATGGTTGCTCCTAAGAACCTGAATTGTGCAGATCCATCTCTGTGCATTTAATCACACACATAGGCTTGAAATGAGTATCAGTTGTGCCAGAATTATATTCTCCAAACTTAGAGACTTCCCTAACATAGTTTGCATCAGCTTGAATTCCATGTTTCTGTGTGCATACTTATAAAGAGATGTCTGAGTTTATGTTCATAGTTGCAAGCACATCACCAAGGTGTCATGCAAGTGAAGCCACTCAGGGTTTACAGTGATAAAACATAAATATTTGCAAAGGCTATATATGCTTTTCGCTTCTGCCATTGTTTTGAGTGAGAATCATTTGATAAAATTATTTGTGCTGAACCTCTAAGTCATTAGTACCAGCTGCTATATAGACACATCTTGGCTGACCATATAATGGAATTCCTGACAATACTACCATTCAGAATTGAATAGGCTAAGGGGACAAACATCTTGAAGTCCATTGCTTTGCATTTATAATATATTTCACACAAATACATAAAGCTTTATATGGTTTAGAGTTTCTGACCAGTTATGTTATGTTTGGCTTTGGGATTGGCTTAGTCTAGTAGGCTTCATAATGGTTAAGATATTTGCATGTGACCTTGAAATTTGAAAAGCCAAGGCAATCTAATTACTGAAAAGTAACCATTTGCATATTTCTTCTTAAAACAGAGGACTCAAAATGCACCAGAATGCACAGAGAATTTGGTATCTATTAGGGTAATACAGTGCTTCAGATTTGGAAAATATGGTTTTGAAAGCACAAGAGTGCAAATGCAGCGGTTGTTTGCAGCTCATTGAAGGAAACATATCTATTTCCAGAATTGTGTAGCTGCTTATGAAATTCTCTCCACAGTAGCCATCCAATCACAGAAAAAACTGGCTGGTGGAAGGTGTGATATACAGGTCTTGCATTCACAGTGAACCTTCAATAAGCAATTGCAGGATTCTGGAAGTGGATGTGCCTGCTTTAATGAGTTGCAGACACATCTTGCATTCATACTACCCTATTTCTGACGTACCTTTTTCAAATCAAATCTGAAGCAATGCCCAGCCCTAGCATCCATTAGCTGAGGATTATGCTGCTGATACATTTTACATCGTATTAGAGGACAGTGTTTCACTTTAGCATCCATTTACTTCCATATTGTTCCTAAAATGGCTACATGGTAAAATGGCTACATGGGTGTGTTCATGTAGTCACCAGGAGTCAGTTCCACTGAAGGGAATCTTGATCTTAAACAGTAAACTAAACTTGGCAGACCTGGTTAGTACTTGGATAGTATTTCTTTGTAGTTTGATACCATTGGGTGTGATCCAGATAGGCAAACATTTGTTTAATGATTTCAAGGACTCTGTGAAATTCCAAATACCAATTTTGAGCAAATAATGACTGATTTAATGAACATGTGATGTGATGTGTCTAGACCTACAAAGATCAGGACTGTGCAAGCCATGGTATTCCTTGTGACACTCTATGGAAGTCTGGTCTAGTGGTTAAGGCGCCGGGCTAAAAACCAGGAGATGGTGAGTTCTAGTCCCGCCTTAGGCATGAAAGCCGGTTGGGTAGCTCAGGGCCAGTCACTCTCTCTCTGAGCCCAACTCACCTCACAGGGTTATTGTTGTGGGGAAAATAGGAAGAGGAAAGAGTAGTAGGTATGTTCACTGCCTATTTATAAAAATAATAGGGGCAAGGTAAAAAAAAGTTGGACTTTGAAGAAGCAGGATAAGAACAGTATTGATGCCTTTGAACTTTGGTGTAGCAGAAGATTCCTGAGAATACCATGGACAACCAAGAAAACAAACCAATGGGTCATCAAACAAATCAACCCAGAGTTCTCACTGGAGGCACAAAGGACCAGACTTAAATTATCCTACTTCAGACACATTATCCGAAGACCCAGCCCTCTGGAAAAGGCTGTAAATGCTGGGAAAAGTGGAAAGAAAGAGAAGAAGAAAATGACCAACAGCAAGGTGCATGGACTCAGTTATAGTGGCGCTGAGTGCACCATTGGGAGACTTGAAAGAACAGGTTAGGGATAGATCATCACAGAGAAAATCTAACTATGTGGTCGCTAGAAGTTGAAAATGACTTGATGGCACATAATCAATTAATCAATGGATATGTGAGTTAATTAAATTCTATTGAACAGAACACGTGACTTTTGCTAAATGAATTTGGAGCTGCTGCAGAAAAGCCTTTTAGATACATTACATACTTATGGAAAACTATTGTTTCTGCTGAGGGAAAAACAAACAAGCCAGATCATACAGAATCTGCCTCTTCATGTAGAAGAACTGACATAGCCTACTGTCTAAGTTGATAACTATATGTTACTGCTTCCAGTTGCATCTACTGTAGCTTGGATGCCTTCAAACAACAAGAAATGAAAAGGAGCTTTGTAGAGAGGGAGGATTGGAACAGGAAAAAGATTTATCCCTTTCCTGCCTGCTCTTTCTTCCAATCCCTCCTCTATGGCTTTCTGAATCCATATTTCTAAAACCACATCTATCTATTAGCCACTGCCAACTCCCATAAAATCATTCTCAACTAAAAGCAGCTTTCCCTTTTTCCTTCTGAAGGAAAACTAGAAAATAGGCTTCAAGATGGTGAAGCATAGGGTTGAGAATATATTGGAAAGATTTTTTATCAACAACAAATGGAATGTTTGGGGGAAAACAAAGAAACAAAAACTTACAGAATATTTTGGGATTCATGATAGCTGAAATCTTTCTCAAGTTGAGCTGAT